TGCCTCAATTCTGCTCCTATGACTTTCTATTGAGTTGTCTAATTCTGAAATTTTATTGTTAATCTTCTGGATTTCTGATTGCTGTCTCTCTATGAATTCTTGCAGCCTGTTAAATTTGCCAGTATGCTCTTCTCGAATCTTTTTTATTTCCTCTATTGCGTGTTCTGCGTGTTGCTTAATTTCCTTCCTAATTTCTTGAAGAGTTCCGTATATTAATCTTTTGTATTCTGCCTCTGGTAATTCCAAGAAATTTTCCTCCTCTGGAAAATTTCTAGATTCTTTAATTTTGGGAGATTGCTGAAGTCATCATGGATTGCCTCTTTATGTGATTTGATATTGACTGTTGTCTTCGAGCCATCAATAAGTTATTATATTTATTTATTTTGTGTTTGCTTACTGTGTTCTAGCTTCTTGTTTTGTTTTGATATGCCCAAATAGGCTGCTCGTATGAGCTAGTTTGATTATTGGCACATTTGAAGCTCTAATGTCCTATCACCAGGTGGTTAGATCTGTTACTAGGTATGTGAGCTCAGGAGTCCACCCACTCTTCCTGTATAGATTTAGCTCAGGTGCCCAGGTAGATAGCCACCAGGTGTGTGGTGTACGCTCTAAACCTACAGTCCTAGACCAGCATGGGTGATTGGTGTAGGCACAGGCAACTGGCTGCAGCAGGGGAACACACTCTGAGCAAGGCAGGGGGCTGATGGCCACCCCCGAGTGTCCAGGAGGAAGGCGTGACCCTGTTCCCTAGAGTGCGTAGGTGGGTGGGTTTTGCAGCCAGACTATGAGCACCCAGTGCTGTTGGCTGTAAGGACTGGGGGGGCACCTGTTATTCTTGGTCCCCTATCGCAGGTGGCTAAGTGGTGTGGGTGGAGCCACCAGTCCTCAGGCCCCTGATGTGGGTAGGTGAAGACTCTGCTTAATCGGCAGAGCAGTGTCAAATGTCACAAACCTGCCACTTCACAGCTGAAACAGTTCAAGTTAGACTTCAGGTATATACCCTGTTGTACTGTGGTAATGAGGGCCTATGCTGTTTAAATGGGCCCACACAAGTCTCTGCAGGCGGAAAGGCACTCAAAGTCCATGGATCCCTTATGCCTGTGCCTAGGCAAAGGACCTATGCCTACCCTGAGTTCCTGGCTTAGGGGAGCTGGCAGTTTATTTTCTTCCCATTTGTTAATTTGTTCACTCTCCAAGGCTGGGAGAATGGCTCAGGGCATGTGACGGATCCTACTTCTGGCCCAAGAGACTTGGCGATTGCTGAAGCCAGTCCGGGACCCAGTGCAAAGCAGGGAGCGGGGAGATAAATGGGAGAGAGGTTTTTTCCTAAGGGGTGTGTTTTTGATTCATGTGGTAGGCCATACGAAAGTACTTATCTTTCGCTGATCTAGGGCTGCTTCTCACTGGTTCTGGGTGGCCCAGTAGACTCTCTGCAGCTGGGTCTCTCCCAGTGCAGAGCACGCCTCCTGAGCACCACTGCTTGCCTGCCTCACCGCTCACCCGTGAGCTGATCAGGCCTGAAGGGCTCAGGCTCTCACAGGGTCAGGTCTGGCCACTCCTTGCTGCTTCTGAACTGTCTCTGCCTCCCCCTGCCACTCAGTCTGGTTCCTCAAGTTTGCCTTAGATGTTCAGGGCTCCTAGATTGTCATACATAATTGATTCACTTGTTTTTTCGGGTCTTTGTTATAAAAGGGTCCACCGGAAGCATCTGACTACTCCGCTATCTTGGCCCCACCTCCTCTGTGATTCTGGTTTGAATGGAGAAATTGTAAGAAGTATCTGTCTGTCCCCCTCCCTGTTCTCCCCTGAAGCTGTGCACAATATCTGGTAATGAAGTGGAGCCAGAGTTAACAGCATATTAAAGACCAGAAGGCCCTCGGTTGGAGTTTTTACTCCAGCTAGTATGTGGCCTGGGACTACAAATCCCCCTAAGGTCCCTATGTTCTTAGCTTTAATTTTTTTTTGGAGGGAGAGGGGATTTGGGAGAAAGTTGGACCAGATGTGTTCTTAAGGCCGTTCCAGTGTTAAATGCCCTGCGTCTCCTTTCCTCTGTCTATGGGTGCATGTTAGCACATGCATGCATACATGCACCCCTAAGCTTCATATGAATACACCAGCGGGCATCCTGGTCAGCATGTGGGCCTTCCTCCTTGCTGTCACTAGGTATCACACAGTAGTTCCCAAGGGGGACTTAATGGTGTTCAGGGCACTAGAGATACACAGGTTTGGCTGTGTTGTACATACAAGGATGACTGCAAATTCATCCTTGATCGAGGGCTTATTTCAAGTCATTTTCCTAAAAGCTATTTTTCTAATAGTAGTGAGAGGATTTTCTCCAAATCCGCATTCCCCTTATCATATGCTTTCTCTAATATTGCTTTTGTAATAATACCCTTTGTAGCTAAGGGTGTTCAGTCCGTGGCCAAATGACAGATCACAGCTAACTCAAGTAAGTTTGAGGTATTGAAGTGATTCCCATTTTTTAGTTAAGAGGGAGTGAATATAAGAAATTACTTAAATACGTGAACATTTCTCCCATAAAGGCAACCTTGTTTGCATATACATATGCTCACATTGAATGCAAATGTGCTACAGGCAATATGAAAATAACCATATTGAATTTCTTGCCTGTTGGGAACTGAATGTTAACTCACTGGACTGGAACTATTTTTTAGTAATTATGATTCGGTAAATTATTTTTATTGACTTAATAGTTTAACCCAGATGCCATAAACCACAGTAAGTAACTTATGTAGGAGAAATGTTGCCTCAGCACTTAACTATAGATTTTAAATTGGATGGTTCAAAGTAGAAATCTCAATGGGACTATAGAGTCTTTTTAAAAATTACATTTGGAAAGCTGAGTTATATTTCGAAATAAGGGCATAGCCTTGGCGCCGATGGACCGGACCGCCCATGCTTTGCTAACAGAGTAAGTGCCATCTTCAGTTTTATAAGCACATTTTACAAAATCCAAGCCACTGCCTCAAGGTGCTTTTGAATGAAATATTGACTTTATAGAAGTAGACATTTGCCTCCCTGGTAAATATATCTTGTTGTAAGAGCCTTGAGGTTCGCTTCCTTTGTATTGCTGTATGTTGTTGTATTTTTCAAGTCTCTTATAATTCTTTTCATTTTCCTCTGTCTCTTCCCTTATTTCCCCCTTTCTGTTTCTATTTTCATGTATTTGTGTTTTCTTCCTAATCTCTCTATGATATTAGCTAATTGTTTGATTCTTTTATTGTTTTTCTTTTGTTTTATAATGCCTTACTTTGTATTTCCATTTTAATCAATTCCTTTCTTCTGCTTGAGTTTATTTTGCTCTTTTGCTAACTCCGTGAGTTGAATACTCAATTCATTTATTTTCATTCTTGCCTGTTTAATATTAATAAATGTAATGTTAGGAGTTGGCCTTTTGCTTGTCATGAATCTCATAGGTTTTGATATGTGGGGTGCTCACCACCATTGTCAGTGTTCTGTAATTTTACCCAAGAGTTGCTTCAGAGAGAAGTGTTTGCTTTGGGTCTTTGTTTCTAGTGGTAGGTTTCTTTGCTTTTTAGTTTTGTAATTAATTTGTGGCTTATTGAAATGTGATGAAAGAACGTTTTCATTGTTTGGAATTTATTGCAAAATTTGTTTGTCACCTACAATATAATCATCTTTTGTGAATGTTCATGGCCCTTGGAAAGTACATTTATTTTCTACTTACAAGGTCTAGAGTTCCAAGAACATCAGGTGCATTTACCTTATTAATTATATTAATTAATTATATCATCAAGTATTTTGTATGCCATTTAAAAAATTGATCTATCATAAGCTTAAGGGTGTTTCTATTATTTTCTATTTTTAAGCAATGCAATTTTTGCTTCATAAATGCTGATTCTATGTTATTTGATTCGTAGATAGTCTAATTGCTAGATTTTGGTAGTTTATTGTACCCTTTATCATTATCAAGTACTCTTCTTTATCTTATTTAATTTTTTTGCTGAGAATTCAAAGTTGACTAATATTAAAAATGTTCCTCCAGCTACTACATAAAGTTGTTTTTTAACCTTTTGGCCATGATTTTCATTTCCATTCTCTTCTGTGCTACCTTCAATGCAATCTTCTTTTATGTCATGTTCTGTGCTGTTTGTATTCCCCATATCATTGTTGAGCTCTGCTAGCTTTTGTATTCCTGAGCTCTTGTGCTTGATAACTTCAGGAATTTCTTCCTGTTCCTGCCAATATGTTTGGCCATCATTGTCGTTCACTTGGTGGCACCATTTTCCTGGTGAATGTTCCTATCTGTTGTTCGTCTTTTTCTGTTTCTTTATTCTTTTTTCTGTTACCCTTGAGTTGCCTTTTTTATAGATTCTGTGCTGGTTTTTATTCTTGTTCTTCTTCTCCTTTTCCTCCTCCTCCTCTTCCTCTTTCATTTCCTTCTTTATTATTATTCTTTACTATTGTTGAGTGAAATGCATTCTAGACCAACTATTTGCAGGAGATTTGTGCCAAGAAGAAACCAGAACAGTAGTCTAAACTAACTGGGATTATCCAGGCAACAGTAGGCTTCAGCTGTAGGGCTGCTCACGTTCAGTCTCTGCCCTCCACCCAATCTCTTGGCATGCCTATGAGTCAGCTCCTCCTCCTTGGCTACTTTTTGGGACTAATTAGGGCCCAGGGTAGCTCCTTACACCAACACATACCACCCTTTCCTGCTTTTCTAAATAATGAATATTGGGTATTTTCGCCATTTGATTGAGCTTTGGAGAACTATATTCTTCAAACTTTACCTGAGAAATGCAGCCATTGGCCTCTTCTCTGAGCATCTTCTCTCATCCCTCTCTGATATTCACAGCATTTGGCAGCTCTTCCTCATATAGTTTTGATTTGAGATTATAGATATCTTCTCGTGTGTGCATTTGCACTTGTTTCTCATTCGCCTTATTTTGGTGGGATAATAGCAAAGACTTCTTTACTATGCTATCTTAAATCTGAAATCACAATAATTTTTTTGTACTTCACATTTGTCATTTCTTCCCCTGGGAAAGAAGAGTGTACGTGGCTGGATTTTGTTTGCCTGGATGCTTTTGTTGCCCCCTAAACATCTGCTTTTTCTTCCCTTCACCTGAGAAGACTCTTCTGACTCTCTTGAGATGTTACCTAAAAGCTTTCATAGCTATTGCATTGATGGATATTCTCTGCCTTGTGAATTTCCGATACAGAAAGAACGCTTTCTTCTCTTGATTAGTTGCTGCTTACATATAGCTACTGTAACAAACAAATCCAAAAATGTATAGCAACACACATAAAATTGAGGTTTATCACCCACTCATGTAAAGTACAGAGTAAGAATTCTTGACTGGCAGGTGGCTCTCAATAAGAGATAATAAGCAGTGGCTTTAGACCCGGACTCTACCATCTACAAGGTGGTTTCCAAGGTGCTTTTCCACATGAAGCAGGAAAAAGGGGAAAAACATGGAGAACTATGGACAGAAGATTTTATAGGCCAGAACTGTGGTAGAAACATATCTGTTCCCCTGCTATTCTGTTATCTAGCACTAGCTGCGAGGGATTCTGGGAAATGTAGTTTCATTGTTTGGACAGGAAATGGAGGAAGAAGGAGGGGGGTTTGAACAGCTAACTGCTTAATTGATCCTTATTTGATCCTTCCAGCTTGCCTGTCATAAATGTCTTGAGTGGCTAAAGGAACTTGAGTGTTTAGAACCAAATTCATCTCTTCATTCATTCAACAAAAACAAAAACTCACTATGTTCCTTCTACTTACCAACTACATGACTTTATCAGTGAGAGTCATCTTAACCCCTAAAACAGGAATGATATTTATTTTCCTGAGTTGTCCTGGAAGGAAAAAAAAAAAAAAAATGGATCACTTAAATAAAAAATAAAATCCTTCATGCCAACTGAGGCTTCATCCTTTTTTTGAAAATGCTGACCTTTTCAGTTAAGAAGAAAGGGTGTGAATAATTTCACAAAGGCATATAGCTTCCGAGTCATACAGTATTATGTTATCAATCAAGTTGGATTCACTTGTAGAAGTACATTCTTCCTATTACTTTCAGCACATTTTTTTTCTGTCCTCTAAAGGGAATTCAAGATGGCCACTATATTAAAATAGACTTTTTATAGTTGAGTGTACTCTGCTCAATTCAGTCTGAAAGATGTAAATGATGTATAGATATGAGCGTGGGCAAGCCCACAGAACTGGAAAAAATTTAGTATCGTGTAGACAGTTTTTCAGTAATAAAATCCAAATTAATGTTTATACTTCAATAGTCAGAGAACGTTCCCCATCTCTTCTTCTCAGCCCCTCCCTTTCAAATGTACCAACAAATCAACTTGTACCCCTGCCTCATAGGGAATGGAAAAGGTTTTTGTTTATTTTAGCTGAGCTGTCCCACTAAGCCATCTCGTTGTTGTTGTTAGCTTCCACTGAGTCAGACCCCTGACTCATGGTGACCCCATGTATTACAGAGAAGAAGTGCTCCATAAGGTTTTCTTGGCTGTAATCTTTATGGAAACAGATTGCCAGGCCTTTCTTCCATGGAGCTGCTGGATGGGTTCGAACCACCAACCTTTGGGATAGCAGCTGATCACAAACCGCTTGCGCCACCCAGGCTCCACAACTCCAATTTGTGTTATAAGTACTCTTTTTTCTCTTCATCCTGCCTGGATAGAAATGGCTCAGGAGTAAATCATTTTTGTCATGCCGTTTGAGAGATGGAGCAGCCATCAGCAAGGAGTGCTTGGAAACAAAGCAGCCATTGCGTCCTGCGGAGTGTCTAATATGCCCAGGAACGGGGTGCAGAAGGAACTGAGCCACTTCAAGGCTGTTCTTGAGAACCTTGGATGTTCCCAGCTCCCATTGTGACCCACTGTTCAGCTTCTGCAGACACCCATTCCTTTTCTGTCCTTTCAACAGATATTAAACGTGTGTGTGAGCTCATGTCCTTTCTCTTTGGTAACATGCCTCGGAAGGAAAAAGCATTCAGTTTTTGCACGAGGCCTCGTTTAAGGTTGTTATCAATCTTTATTTACTATTAATTGATGGTGTTTGTTACAATCAAAGTGTATTAGATGTAGCAAATTCACTAAGTGTTTTTCAAATTTTTTTTATTATTGTGATAAACATATATGTAACAAACATTTGCCATTTCAGCTGTTTTTACACATACAATTCAGTGACATTAATTATGTTCGTCATGTTGTTCAACCATCACCATTACCCATTTCCTCGTATTTCCATCAGCCTTAACATGAGCTCAGTGTCCCTTAAGCAATGAGTTCCCCTCTCCCCCTCCCTCCCACCTGCCCGTGTTAACCTCTGATAAACTTTCTTCTCTATATACTTGCCTATTCTAAATCTTTCATATAAGTGGACTCATACAATGTTTGTCCCTTTATGTCTGACTGATTTCACTCAGCGTGATGTTTTCAGGTTCATCCATGTTGTAGCATGTGTCAGGACTTCATTTCTCTTTATGGCTGACTAATGTTCCATTGTATGTATATACCAGATTCTGCTTATCTGTTCATCTGTTGATGGACATTTAGGCCATTTCCAGCATTTGCTCATTGTGAAGAATGCTGCAATGGACATTGATGTACAAGTGTCCTGCTTTCAATTCTATTGGGTGTATAACTGGGGGTGGAATTGCCAGATCATATCGCAATTCTATATTTAACTTTTTTGAGGAATTCTTCCAATATTAGAGATAACTACTGGGAAACAATAATAGTTCTTTTCATTTATGGAGTATTCTAAGCACATTAGTGATTATTTACTCTGGTTTTTCTTGATCAACTTTTCATTAAGAACAGAACCCCATAGTTTGTGGTTTTAGGTAGCACTAGGAGAATAAAACTGAATCAGCTCAGTTTGAATTTGTGTCTTGGACACTGCCCACAACTGAGAGGAGTTCACTGGCTTGAGCAAGGTCACAGGCTGATGCAGACAGCTTGATAAAACATAGGAATTCTGACTCCAGTATTGGTTCCAGACAACAAGACATGTTGCTTTTTTTATTTTCCATGGGGGACCTATTGCTGCCCAATGAGGCTTTCCTTACAACAGCCTGTATCTTTGCAGTTGGGTGAAATGATGGGACCCTAGAGGGAATTCAGCCTCTTGTGTCTTTTATGCAGATGCGCAGGGCCCATAAGGACTTATTACATAATTCAATTGAAATAATTAAAATGAAGACCAGTGGGCTGCATGGCAGCTGAAGTTGCTAAATACAATTTGAGTGGCTCAGCCTACGGCTCTTAATTTACTGTGGTCTCCTGTTTTTCTAGGGTGACAGAGAAGCAGAGTTGGGGCTGCCTTTTTCTCCTCTATGTGATCGAAAGTCAACCATGGTCGCTCAGTCGCAAGTAGGTATGTGTTTGCCAGCCTTTTGGATGGAGGGAAAAATCAAACAGAGGGAGAAGTCTGTAGAAGTAAGCTCAGTTGTTCCCACTGATTCCTTGGCTCGGGACCTGACTCCATTTCGCCATGCTGTGCTCGTGGCTTCGGCTGGTTGGGTTGATGAAGCCACTCTCCCCATCCTTCTCCCTGGAACGTGGCTGGTTCATGGGAAAATTAGACACTGACACCCTGGTGTCTTCATCATCCCCTGCCAAAAGAAGAAGGGACCTCAAGTTTACAAGAAGATGACAAGTGTCATTGGCAGGAAGCCCATTCTACTTCAGCCTCTCCATTCCACATTCAATACTGGAAGTCAGTGTAACATTTCTCCTCATTTATGCTTCCTGTAGCCCTGTTTCCAGACCAGCCCCACTTCCTGGAGGACCCTACTTCCAGGAATGGCTCTTTTTAAATGTGTTCGTTCTCTCTTTCTCCCATTCCGTTTTATCCTTTCCTTTATTTTCTTTCTTTCTTTAAGCTATTTATTCTTTTTTTTAGAAAGGATAACTTTTGCACTGCTAAAAACATTATATAAGTGCATCATACTCCCACTTTCTTAGATATGGGAGAGGGTACCTGTGCCATATATAAATTAAATGTCATCAGTTATCTCCACCTTAAAAGAGTCTAAAAGCATTCAAAAAATAAATTCTACAAAAATTTATTGATCTTTGTACTATTTTTAGTGCTTTTTTCATAATAATACATTAGGTGTTGAACACTATATAATAGATATTATAAAAATAAAGACAAATTAGATGTGATACCTGTTCTTAAGGGCATAAAATCAGCACTGGGTGGTGGGCAAGGCATTATGAAAACAAAATCTATCAGAGTGCTACAATGCTATGGTAGAGTTTTGTACTTGGTACATTCGGGTACAGAACAGAGTGTGCGGAATGTTAGACCCAGGCAGTCCAGAAAGACTTGTCGAAGGGTAATATTTAAGTTGCGTTCTAAGCAGAGAGTAGGCATTGTCTAGGCAAATGGTGATATGTATTAGGGGTGGTTGGAGGGACCTTTCAGGCAAGAGAAGTAGCATGTACAAAGTGGAGAAATTTAAAACAGCCTAACATGATCAACAAACTACAGTTTTATATGGCAAGAGCTATGGCAAGAGCAGTGGATGAGTAGTAGAGTGCAGGAAGGGGCATGTCTGGTGAGAAAATCAGGCCCAGATTATATATTCTATTAAGAATAGCACATACTTGTACTTTCTATAGTAAATGAGGCATATCTAAAGGATATTAAGTAAGGTTGAAAAATTAATAAAACTGTGGCCTATGGGCCAATTCTGGCCAACCACTTGTTCTTGTAAATAAAGTTTTATTGAAACACAGCTAAGCTCACACATTTTCATATTGTCTACAGCTGTTTTCATGCTACAACAGAGTTAAATAGTTAGGATAAACACTGTGTGGCCCATGAAGTCTAAAATATTCACTATTTGGCCCCTTCCAGAAAAAGTTTACCAATCCCTGTTTAAAGATTCCTCTGCCGGTAGTGTAGAACATTAACTGGAGGATTTTGAGTTTAGACTGGAAGCAAGGACACCAGTTGGGTTCCCCTTGCAGGATCATAGAGAGGTGATGATGAAGGCCAGAAAAGTGAAGTGACCTGTGAGATATTAAGGATTCGAGTGGATGCAAAGCTAACATAAAGGCAGGAATCTATTATTCAGATTAGTCTTCTATACTGCTCCTATCACATTGATTATTAGGTAGTAGGTGTTGAACATGTATTTTTAAAGCACTTTATTGAACTATCTGCTGAAAAGTAATAGGAAAGTTATATTGGAGAAATAGAACAAACTCATGGTATTCAAATGAGGGACTATATTAAATAAATAAGACCCATTCTCTGCTAATCTGTTCTGGAGCTCCGGTGTGGATTTTCTTTTTTTTTTTTTAATTAATAGACTTTCTTTTTTAGAGCAGTTTTAGGTTTACAGAAGATTGAGCAGGAAGTATAGGGATTTCCCATATACTGCATTCCTGCCGTGCACACAGTTTCCCCTATGATTAACATCCGGTATTAGTGTGGTACATTTGTTATAACTGATGAACCAATGTTGATACATTATTATTAACTAAAGTCCATTGTTTACATTAGGAGTCATTTTTTGTGTTGTACAGTCCTATGGGTTTTGGCCAATGCATAAGGCCATGTATTGGCCATTATAGTATCCTGAAGAATAGCTTCACTGCCCTAAAAATGCCTCGTGCTTCAGATGATTTTTAAAAGAAAGAAAAGACTCATCAGTTTCCATTGGAAAATATGGAAAGGCCCAAGTTAATCATTAGCTCCTCTGAAGCATTGCTGTTTCTCTTCAGGCTTCATTGATTTCATTGTGGAACCCACTTTCACTGTGCTCACTGACATGACCGAGAAGATTGTGAATCCAGTCATTGAGGACACCTCCCAACCTGGCGGGACAGGGCAGAGGCGTTCGAGGTCAGTGGAAAAGCTCAACATACTGGGACAAGGTTAGAATTCTTTTGGTGGGGTGGGAGTGGTATTTCATAATGATGATATGCCTGACCTCCTGTTTATAAGACAGTCTTGTCTGCCTCCTTTCTTTTCTCAGAGGAATTGAAATTATGCTAATTAGTACTCTCCAGGCTGGCCCATGAGGGGGTGACCAAGTTTCAAATGGGCAGATACTTATTGCCAGTACCCCTGTCCTGTCTTAGCCTTGCTGATGGCGGCATCAGTCATAGCCCTTTTACCTGCTGTGCCTGGGCAGTCTTAGATCCTTGCTCCCGATACTCCAGGAGGACACGAACACTGATTGGAATTATCACAAGAAATGGAAAGACTTTCAATTCCAGGTTCAGGAAGACAATGAAGTAGAGAAAAATATGAAAGTTTTAAATCACGTTCTGCCAAAATATCATTATATCAAGTGTAGATTTATAAGTAGGAGTACAGGCTGTGGAGTCAGAATGCCGAGGTTAAAAATTCTGACCTCAGCATGTATTAGCTGTGTAACCTGGAGCAAGTTGCTTTCATCTCCCCATCTGAGAAAATGTAAATTATGATACTCCTAGGTTGCTAGATAGATAAAATGAATTATTCAATACATGTAAAACACTCAGAACAGAGTCTAACCCAAGGAAGTGCTAGCTACTATAAAGCAAATACTTCGTCTTTATCAGTAGTACTACTCTTAGTACTGGGAGTCTCTGGGTGGTGCAAACATCTAACGTGCTCAGCTGCTAATCAAAAGGTTGGAGGTCGGAGTCCACCCAGAGGCACCCTAGAGGAAAGGCCTAGTGATCTACTACTTCTGAAAAATCAGCCATTAAAAACACTATGAAGCACAGTTCTACTCTGACACACATGGGGTCACCATGAGTCAGAGTTTACTTGATGGCGACTGATTTTACCTTGGGCCTTGTCATAAAAGAGAAAGAAGAGAAATGGAATGAAAAGGCAGAGGAGAAGGAAAGAGCAGGAGAAGGAGTAAATAGAGAGAGAGGGCAAAGCAGAGAAGCGTTAGGACAGTGGGACCCCAGGAGTTCTCCAGGTGGATGGACCCAGTCAAGGCTGCTAACAAGGAGAACAGAAGCCCCTGCCCGAGTCCCCCACCCTGCAACTCTTCAAGCACTGGTTTGAAAGACTGCTCTGCTTGTCAAGGTAGCCTTAGTTGTCATTCAGTGGCTTTACATTCATGCCAGTCACTGCTTTAGCCACCTGGAAGCGTATGATAGATGGTTCTTTAAAATTTTTCAGAAGGATAGCACTTGCTAATATTTGCAAAGTTGCCCATGTTTGAAGCATAAAACAGTGTTCATATAAAGAAAGATCTGTTTCCTGACATGCTCTCTCACAGTCTCCAAGCTGTTCCCTCCATCTTCCCATGACCTTGGGGATACTGGAATCAACAGAGTCCCTGAGTACTGTGGAGGGTGGATCTGGAAAGAAAGAAGATCAAATTACTGGGTAAATTGGAAAAGTGGTCAGCGTGGAAGCAAGCAGAAATTCAAGTTCAAATTTGTTGATTTCAGAGTATATAGCATCATGTAAGGGGATTCTAACCACATTGGGAAAGAAAAGACACCAATCAACAGGGAAAAAATATGGGGAATATCAGGACTCCTGAGGCGGAAATGTCCCCACCCCCCCGATGAAGATACAAAATTTCCCACCTGTCATATCTGAAAAATAGGATAATTACAAGCCTCAGGACCTAGGAATTCCCCAGCAATCACTTGATGAGTGCCAACACTCCTCTCTTGGTCTTGCTCATTGGCATACATTTTCCAAACACTAACCCTCCTCTTTGGTATGTTTTTCGTCCTGCAGTTTGAACAACATCAGCTCGTCAGATGCAAAGCGGTCAGGTGTCAAGAGCTCTGGGTCAGAAGGAAGTGCTCCAATCAACAATTCCGTCATCTCTGTCGACTATAAGAGTTTTAAAGCCACTTGGACAGAGGTGGTGCACATCAACCGGGAGAGATGGAAGGCCAAGGTGCCCAAAGGTAACATGATATTGGAGACTCCTCCAGGAGACCTGTCCAAACCCACTCAACACCCACTTTTACAACAAGGAATTACCATCCCTAATGTATAGATGTTGCAAATGAAGCATAGTTACCCAGGATGCAGATTCAAATTGCTGAACACTAATCACACCCAGTACTCAGTGCATGATAAAACAGGGCAGAACTCTAGCCTCCTGACATCATACCCTTTGTGCTATGTGACTCAACAACTTTTCTCAGTACTAAGAGTCTACAGGGAATGGGTTTTATTATTTCTTGGTTTCAGCTAGACCATCTTGTCAATCTCATTCTGTGTCATGTGGCACAACTATGAGGCTTTCGTTCCCTCTTTGACCTAAGTGAATCCCAGCCAGTAGCCACTGTGTTGGGGTAAAAGGAGCGTTCCTTCCCTTGCATACATTTTTATCTTTGTTTCATGTTCAGTCTCCCTTCAGTCATTGCTCAGAGCACAGAACTAATCTTCTGAGATGGAGGTAACTTGTAGGTAAACAGAAATTCCCTAAAGCAGACATCGTCAAAATTCAGACCAGAAATGTCACTACTGTTGGTACTATAAACAGAAAAAGACTGAAGTCACGTGTTTCTTGGAAGCTGAGATTCATTTGTTTGTACAGGCATTTGTGTTTATTGAGCATGTACTATATGATCAGCATATATTATATGATCATACTGTAGTATAGGTAGAGAGGCAGCATGTACACAGGTAACAAAGGAGATAAGGGGTATGGAGCTGTGGTGCCTGTATGTACGTATGGAGGGGCATGGACATGGAGAGATCTGGACGCTCAGAGAGGGGAACTGATCCCAGCAGGCTTTTGGGGGTGAACCTTCAACAACAGTCATGTTTGCTAACATCTGCCAAGTACCTACTGTATGCAGGCTCTGTGCTCCATGCCAGGGTACAGAGATAGTAACAGACACCCCTATCCTCAAGGTTCACAGTCTCATGGAGGAGGAGGAGAGGCAGTAGACATTACTATAAGGTTTCTTTCCGAGGAAGAATGGGAGGTCATTAGAAGCTTGTACTTGTCAACCAGCGCCCACCCACCCTCAGCTGGCAAGGAGTGTTGTATCCCAAAATTTCCTCCCTTCCATTATCAGCACAAGTGAGAAAAAGTTTGGGGGTGACAGGGAAGAGCAGGCTCTGGCAGTCTTGATCTGCAACGCATGAGGGGTCTGCTTCTAAGTGTGGGAGGGGCCCCACTGCTGGAGTTATTCAAAGGCAAACCACTGTGACTCGCCCACAAAATTCTGTCCAAGTGGCTGCTCATTTTAATTGGGGGAAAGTGTTTATATTTGTGCTGCTTTTAGGTCATAATTGGACCCTTATCATTTAGGGACAGATGTGGTCCCTGAGCTATGGAGGGAGCCAATGCTTCTCCTGTATTTTAAGTGTACCCTCTGACAGTCCATTCAAATGCTTTAAACATTTAAATTCTCCCTGTTGGCAGGTGTCGCAAGCAGCTATGGCAGCTACTGCAGCATCTCAAAGGAAGCACTCTCTCATAATCAGTTACACCCCTTACACTCGAAAATCCAATTCCTGACACTGTTCAATTTAAAGGGGTGCCTCAAAATCATTTGTTTGCAATTATCCGGCTTACTAAAATTACTTTCCAAAACTCACCACCTGAGGAAGCATGAGAGGGTTCCCACTCCACCTCCCCAACCAGGAGAAAACTGGCCCTTTAGAAAGGACAGGTAAATAAGCTGCTAATAACTTTAAAATACATTAGGGATGCTGATGGAGATATATTTAAGCTATTTTGGAAGCATAAAAGGACTTGTCCCTAATCCTGCTTGAGGCTTTTGAGAAGGCATCGTGAGCCGGGACTCAAGGGATTGAGTCCTGAAGGAGGTGTTGTAGTTAGGAATAGGGAACCAGGAGAAACGAGATGGGCAAAAGGGCAAAGCCTGGGTTACGTGTATTTTGTGAGTAGATAGTTTGGTTATCAGTGCAAATTTCAGTTAGTGGGAAAAGATAGAATTGAATCACTACTTTGACTGTGCTCTTGGGAAAATCCAGATGAGTTCATTGAGGCTCCATTTTGGAGATGATAATACACATCACAGAGTTGATGCAAATAATAGAAATAATATATGTAAAGCCCTGAGAACAGAGCCCGCACGTAAGTTAGTATCTGATAAGTGGTGGCTGTTGTTTAAATAAATTGGCAGAGAAGGTTGGAGGTTTGAATGCAACATTAGGAATCTGGGGATAAAAATATCAACCTATATCCCTATAACTAATATTTTATAGCTTTTGCAGCCTCCCAGTAATGCTGTGGACTGGTATTAATAAGAAAACCAGTTTGCGTCTGTGTTTCCGTGGATGGTCAGTTCGTACTAGATTCTCCTGCGTGGTTTTGCTGATTGCTCTTTTTTACCAGAAAACCTTGGTTTCAAGAAAGCTGCTTCACACATCGGTTATTAAAATGATCAGAAATGGAACCGGACCTAAAGTCTTGGTTTTATTAACCAACCTGATTTACAAAGTTAGTTAAGCCAGAGCCCATAGTTGTTAGGAAAGATCAAATCAACATTCTTTACAGCTCTCCGAGCCAAAAATCTTTATTTTCAATCAAAGATGTGTGGGTGTAGCAATTTGCAAGTCTGATCAATATGGATCAATTGCCATTTAGTATTATATTTTTTTAACATTTATTTTTTGGTAGAGAAATAATATGTGTTTAGGTTATAAATATAAAATACATATATAAAGAAGAAAATAAAAATCACTCCAGTCTCTTTAGCCAGATATAACTGTTATTAAAATTATGATATAATTCTTTTAAATTTGTTTTACTATGCATAAGTAAATTTTCCCCTAAACTGAGATCATGGTATGATATTGCCTTGTATTCTGCCTTTCTACTTCTATCTTGAGCATTTTATCCTAATAATAATATTCTTAGAAAATCTGGTTTAAATGGCTACATTGTACGGAACACCATAGTTTAACTATTCTTCTATTACTGGCATTTAACTTTCTAATTCTTTATGATTTTATACAACACAGTTTTGAACATACAAGTTTAAAAATCTTTGAGCCTATTTCTGATTATTTAACAAGGATAAATTCCTAGATGTGGAATTCTTATGTCAAAGTAGATAAAGATTGTTAAGGCTGTTGATACATATTATCAAACTTCTCTCAAGAAAGTATTTTTTATCAGTTTTATCTCCAAGTGGAAGTATGTATAATGAGAGTACCTATTTCCCTATACTTACATCAACATGAGTTATCATGATTCTTTTTAATCTTTGCTGGTATTATGTGTGAATATAATATTTTATTGCAAATTTTATGTTTATTTCCTTTTGTGTTTCCCTAATCATATTTCCCCCTTTATTATTCATATTAGGATTTTTTTTATTATTATTGAGCATAAGAATTTTTTATATATTAAGGATGTTAAATCTTCAGTCATCATGGATTGAATTGTGTCCCCCAAAAATGTGTGTCAACTTGACTAGGCCATGATTCCCAGTATTGTGTGGTTGTCCTCCATTTTGTGATCTGAAGTAATTGTCCTGTGTGTTGTAAATCCTAATCTCTGCCTGTGGTTAATGATGCAAGATTAGGTTATGGTAAAGAGGATTAGGGTGGGATGCAATACTCTTACTCAGGTCACAGCCCTGATCTCATGTAAGGGGAGGGTCCCTGGGGTGTGGCCTGCATCGTCTTTTATCTTACAAGAGATAAGAGAAGAGAGAAGCAAGCAGAGAGAGGAGGGACCTACTAACACTAAGAAAGGAGAGCCAGGAGTGGAGTGTGTCCTTTGGACCCAGGGTTCTTGTGCTGAGAAACTTCTAGCCCCAGGGGAAGAGTGATGACAAGGACCTTCCCCCAGAGCCGTCAGAAAGAAATAACCTTCCCCTGAGCTGGCACCCTGAATTCGGACTTCTAGCCTCCAAAACTGTGAGAGAATAAATTTCTGTTTGTTAAAGCCATCCACTTATGATATTTCTGTTACAGCAGCACTAGATAACTAAGACATTAGTTGATAAAATATGTTGCAATTTCTACCCCACCCCAATTTGCTATATGCCTTTTAACTTTGCTTATGATCTTTTTCAGTACATCTTATTTTTATTCTAGTAGATACTACCTTAGGAGCCTGGTGGCACAGTGGTTAAGCATTTTGCTGCTAACCAAAATGCTGGCAGTTCGAATCCACCAGCCATTCCTTGGAAACCCTCTGGGGCAGTTTTACTCTGTCCTGTAGGGTTGCTACGAGTTGGAATCGACTTGACGGCAATTTTTTTGTTGTTGTTTGTTTTAGATATTACCTTTAAATTGTTTATTGAATTATAAATCTCTATCAATGTAAATAATGAAGTAGCAGTATTGACACTGTTTTGCAAATGATGAAAAACTTAGTGAATTTTAACTTACTTCCCTCGTCATCATCTAGTTTTTATTGAAATAATATGGGATTTTAAATTTAGGAGATTGTAAGTAAATTGCTACCTGATAATCACCTTATCCTTCAATGATCACTTTTTAATATTTGCAACAACTTACATATCTAGTTTAACAACCATTATTTTATTTAACACTAAGCTTTACTGGTTTCATTACACATCATTAGTGTATTTTCCTCATTCTTGAGTTTTTAATATTAGTTGAATTTTTCTGTTGGCTGGAGTACTTCTTTGAGAAAAATTTTCAGGAACACCTTGTGGGAACAATCCTCGAGTCTTTAGCTTTCTACAAGTGTCGTTGTGTTGTTCTTGTGGATAACTGACAGCTGATTATTAGACATGCATGTGGTTTTTTGGGGGTTGTTTTCAGTCTCTCTCCCTTTCTCTTTCTCTATGTAGGTAAAGTAGGCATTTCAGAAAACTACATCAAGGGCTAACTGGTTCAATACCATTTTTAAGCAAGATCCTACAGTGTCATTTTTTGAGAAGGCAAATTAAATGAAGAAATCAATGTATTTTTTCAAGACTGCACAGACATTTAATTTGGGATAGAACCAGCTCTCAGTCACAGATAATGTAGTAAATGGACCACAAGGGTTGTGCTCTACCTTAACTCTTCACCTGTTTTCTTTTGACCGTTTTCATAATCAGCCACATCACTACCCGTAGTTCAAGATGGAAAGCAAAAGGAAACACAATTGAACTGCGATATTTGCTTTCTACAAATATAGAAGGTTAGGAGTGCCAAGGATATTAAATCTAGGACCTGAAAAACTCATTCTTTCTGAACATACCATCTTTGGAACCTATTAAAAAAATAAAAACCAAACCTACTGCTGTTGAGTCGATTCTGACTCATAGTGACACTATCTATAGGACAGAGTATAGGATAGAGTTTCCAAGGAGCACCTGGTGGATTCGAACTGCCCACCGTTTGGTTAGAAGCTGTAGCACTTAACCTCTATGCCACCAGGGTTTCCTATTAGTACATATAAATTAACTGTGTTTGTACCTACAGTTTCTCATTGTAGGAAAATTTTATCTATTCTAGTAATTTCACCCTGAAAGGTAATGCAATCTGAATGAACTGGAAAACATCTACCTCTTGGTTTATTTTCTTTTTCGTTATTTATCTGCCTGTTCATTTTGATCTACTTATTTTAAGAAGGACCACTTTGGGTTCTGCAGAGATAATTATACTAATACCAGATATTTCAAAGATACGAGGCAGAGATAGAAGTTTAGTAGCAAAGTTGAAGGGCCTTGCAGGGCTACCTGCTGGAACTTAATTAGAAAGAAATCATACAGGGGGACAGACTCCTGATTTGATTATGATGTCATAACGGCTACAATTTATTAATTTAAACATTAATTGCCTGATGTCAGTTGCAGTTGAGCAGAAACAAATTGGCTTCTGAAATGCACACCCCCTCCTGGTTTTTATTTTTTGCTAGATTTCCCATAGAAAATTGGTCTGACTCAGTTGTCAAATGGATTTTTCTTGCTCAGATAATATTTTATGCTCTTTTGTAGCAAACCAGAATTTAACACCTTCAGTTTTTATCAAAATTACTTTCAATGTGGGGATTTTTTTCCGAATGTTGAAAGTTTGTCACAAATTAAGTAGAGATTTGGTGAAGGGTTTATAAATTATTTCACTCCCTACAAGGCTCTGAGTGTGAAAGAATTCTTCTCCCCCTTGCCTCAGTTTCCTTCTCTGTGTAATCAGGACGGTTATCTTTTTTATTTACCTTTATTAGTGGTTAAGGAAACTTAACAACTGTCCAATGGTTAACTCTCTCTGAATAGGGCTTTAGAGTCTATATACTTTCTGTGTTTTACACTGAAGATAGAATGTGTACAAATAAGGTCACAGAGGCAAATAGGGTAAGTCACACCCATGTATACATACATTTAATCAACAAATATTCCGTGAACACCTGCTATGTGTCAGGAATTCAGTGATGCAGATGACATTTGGCCCCTGACCTCAGAGCACTAAAGAAGGATGAGAGGAGCCCGATATGAACATTCCAGGGACCTTCTTGGCCCTGTAGTCTACTGAGAATGCCATCTCACCATCAACTTATGCAAGGACATTCTTTCACTCTTTAGTTCTACTTTTCTGTAGAAGTCAGAAGACGTATCATACTATATATGAATCTATGTCGTTTTGTGAAGAAATTTCTCTCCTTACCTGTAAATTATAAATATATCCAGATGGGAAGTAAGTGTCTTGAATGTTGTTGTTGTTGTTAGGTGCTGTCAAGTCGATTCTGACTCATAACAACTCCATGCACAATAGAACGAAGCACTGCCTGGTCCTGTCCAACCTTAAAATCGTTGCTATGCTTGAGCCCATTACTGCAGCCACTGTGTCAATACATCTTGTTGAGGGTCTTCCTCTTTTTCACTGACCCTCTCTAGCATGTTGTCCTTCTCCAGGGACTGATCCCTCCTGATAACATGTCCAAAGTATGTGAGGTGAAGTCTTGCCATCCTCACTTCTAAGAAGCATTCTGGCTGTACTTCTTCCAAGACAGATTTATTCATGCTTCTGGAAGTCCATGGTATATTCAGTATTCTTCGCCAACACCATAATTCAAATGCATCAATTATTTTTCTTGAATACTGGATAGCAAACATTTATAACTTAAACCAGTGCGTCTCACCCCTAATTGCATGTTAGAATAACCTGGAGAGCATTTAAACTATCCTAATTGCTGCCTCTTTCCCTCCAGATTGCATTTGTCTGCAGTGAGACTAGGGCACTGATTTAGATAAATCAATGAAGTCTAGGATGAACGAAAACTTCATACTATATTAAGGGGGACATTTGAGCCAAGCATGTGTAGGGGCAAGAGAAGTAAAATGAAGCCAGGGGTAATAGAAATCCACAATATATATGCCAAAAAGCCTGGGTGGTGCAAACGGTTAACACAGCCGGCTACTGAAAGAAAGGTTAGAGGTTGGAGTTCATCCAGAGGTGCCTTGGAAGAAAGGCCTGTGATCTACTTCTGAAAAACCAGCCATTAAAAACCCTCTGGAGCACAGTTCTACTCTGACACACATGGGGTCTCCATGAGTTCAAATCAACTGACAATAACAGATTTTTAAAGTCTCATAAGCATGTGAACCTGGACCAGATTATGACTTTGTGTTCTTTAGCAGCTAAAACAAAGGGAAGCATAATCAGATATATAACTACCTCGGTGTTCATTAGATTAAAAACAAGCATGTTGTCTAGAAAGGCCAGCTGTTTTCAGGACCAAGACTAACACAAGGGAAATAAAGAGGACACCTGATAGTGAGGTGCATGGCATTTTTAACACACCTAGATAAAAACACAGTAATGCTTTTCACAACGGAGGTTGATGATGGCCCAATATGGAAGACTTTTGAGTGAATTAGATGCTATACGGGATAAGGCTCTAGACTCTAAGGAAGATTGGTCCCCGTTAGGTGCCCTTCCATGTATGCTACTTCCTCTAACGCAGGTCCACCTAGTGCCTTCAAGGCCCTGTAGGATCTGAACCCTGCCTGCCCTTGGTCATCCAACCACATCATCTATCATTAACCCTTTGCCAACTTTGCTTTAGCCATACTGGACAACTCAAAGTCCCTCAAACTTAACAAGTTCATTTCTGCCTCTCGGCCTTTGTGTTTGCTGTTTCCTCTGCCTGAAAGTCTTTCCCCAGATTATTGTATGACCAACTCTTGGTCAGTCAGGATTTGTTCAAACAACACCTTCTCAAAGAAGCCTTCTTTACCTCTTTATCTGATGTCACCTCCCTCCCCTCTGCTGATCGTGTTCCCTCATATTATTCTGTTTTACTTTTGCAAAGCACTTTTCACTGTCTGAGATTATCATAGTGGTTTTTTCTTTTTTTTTACCTAATTGTTGTCTTCTCCACTGCGTCAGTCTGTCGTGTTTGCTGCTGTATCCCCTGTGCCTGAGATAGTGTTTGGAACTGTAGGTGCTCAAAAAATATTAGTTAAATGAATGAACCAATATTTTCATAAATACTTGTCCATGTGCAATTATGCTATATTTTTTATTAAGTACAGAGTCAGACTCCTTCACAATCAACTGAGTTGGAAAAAATGTTGACATCCTTTCATTAAAATGGGAAGACATGGACCAGGATACCTGCCCAAACCAAAGGCCACCTCTTATCTTGTGGTCAGTTTGAAAATGACATTTTTTGCAAGGCTTAACTATCCTCCTCCTTTTTAAATTCACAAGCAGTTGCCTGAAACTGTGCTGTTCTAGTGGTGGTTATTTTCCCTGACTTTTTGGTTTTGAATCAGTTGTCTATGTTTAAACTCCAGGGTCTAGGTAAACTTACATAATTCTTACTTACTTTCAATTCTTTCTGTGTGGTCTTAGGCAAGCTTTGTAACTTTTCTGAGCCTCAGTTTCCACATTAGTAAAATAGAGTTAACAATAATAGTAGCTACCTCATAAGGGTGTTTTGATGATGAAAGAAAATAATTCTTGCAAGTACCTAGCATAATACCAGGCATAGAAGATACACTCAATAGATGCTGCTGGTAATAATAATAATATTAATAATGTCAATTATAATATTAATTTATTAATTATTATCCTTATTATGACTTTCTCCCTTCTGAAATGCCATCACCATGAACCTATTTTATTGGTTTCCTAAATATATATGCCAATCTGACTTGAATTCACCAAAAGTATACCAGAAACACTCAGTGAACACCTAGGGTCATTTTAGTGTACCAGTTCCCAGTGCAGGCATTTGTGGTTCCCCCCCCCCCGGCCCCAAAAAAAGCCATTCTCCTAATGTCATGACCTGTTATTATCTTTTCTATGCCTTTCCTAACTTGCAATGGATGCAGAGGAGAAGGCCAAGAAGGAAGCAGAGGAAAAGGCTCGCCTGGCCACAGAGGAGAAGCAAAAGGAAATGGAAGCCAAACGCCAGGCTGAAGACGGTGCAGCTGGCACAGCTGAGACAAAGACATCTGGTGAAGCGAAGAATCAAGTCAATGGAACACACACAAGCAAAAGTGACAACGCTCGAGGGAAAAATTCCAAAGCTGAGAAGTCATCGGGAGAAAAGAATGGTGAGTTCTCAGTCACGGGAGTGGCCTTGCACTGGAGAAACGCTCCTACCCAGAGGTAGTGACATGGAAGAGCAAGGTAGTTTTGCAGACAGACCTGGATTCAAGTCATAGTTGTGCCTCTCGCTCCTCGGGAACTGTGATCTGGACACTTAACCTTCCACTGTTTCTGTAAAATACACTTTATAACACCTACTTGCAGCATGGGCTTCTTGTGAACCCTTAATGATAATAATAGCAACAATAGCAACAGCACATAGCATTTCTTGACTGTGCACCAGATGCGGTTGGAAGTTCTCTCTTTACATTTCCAGTGCCTGGTAGGGCCAGATGATCTACACCAGACATGTGCTCTAGCTGCTGTGCTGCACCACCTCTGTAAATGAAAGATAGGGAGAAAGTGCTTAGCACAACATTCTCTAGTTATTTTTGCAATTGACATATGTAAGATTCGTAATCAGAAAACAAAATTTTAATACACATAATAATGATAGTAGCTCTTATCACATTCTAAGAACTTTGCATAAGTTTGTCCGGTTAACCCTCACGATTACCCTAGGAGGCAGGAAGGCTGTTAACCAGACCTGACCAGCCCCTTGGCTGGTAAAGATGGAGCCAGACTCCAACCAGGCAACTTGGTTCCAGAGACTGCTTGTGACCACTGCACAAAACTACATGTATTGCTCTTCTATTCTGCATGCATCGTGTTAGGCTCTCCTATAGATGATAAGAAAGTAGAGGCCACGTCCGTTATCCCAGGGAGCTTGGAAATATTTGTTAGAGCATGGCATTGAGGCTGGAAAAACATGGGTTGGAATTCCAGCTTCTAGTCTTCACAGCTCTGTGAGCTTAAGCCACTTACCAAGTCAACTCAATGTTGCTTCTTACCTTGGAGAGTTCCCACGAAGATGAAATGGGATGACATGTGTTAGCCTCCTTTGTGGACCTGGTTCATGGTAGTGCCCTGTTTGGTCTGGGGGATGAGGGTGAGATTGAGGAGTGACTTTGGGTATTCTGTTTACAGGTCCCACCAGGCATTTCGTTTAGAAATATTTATTGAATACCCACCATTCACTGGGCAGTGTGATAGGTTCTGTTGATCTAATAATGAACAAGCATAGTGCCTGCCCCAGTGGGGCTTAAACCTAGAGATGAAGAAAGACAATTAAACAAGCAATTATTATACAGTGAAATAATGGGAGTCTTGGGTGCTAAGTGAACATATAATAAGGGCACGGGCACCTAATTTGGACTGGAGAATTGGTGGAAGGCTGTTCAGGAAGACTTCCTGGAGGAAGTGATCTATAGATCAAGGAAGACTATTCCAGGCAGAACAACATCCACAGAGGCCCAGAATCAAGAGAAAGTCTGGTATGTTCAGGGAGACCAAAGAGGTTCAGTGTGGCTGGGCATGAAATTGGGACAGTGGGTGGGGTGAAAAGCCAGTGGGCATTCTGAGTGTTCTGCTTACCTGGACTTCTCATAGCCTTCACCTCAGTCAATTACTTTTTCCTTCTTGAAACACGTCCTTTCTTGCTTCAGAGACACCACTCTCTCCTCATTTGCCTCCTTTCTTCTGTCTTTATTTTTTCTTCTCAGTCTTATTTGGGGTTTCTCCTCCTAGTACGACCCACAAATGTTGGGGTTTCTCAGAGAACCATCCTGGACCACCTTCACTTCTCCTTAACTCTCTTCTTAGAATATCTTATCAGTCTTCATGGATTTACATACTGTCCATGTTGATGATTTCCAGAATTTATACCTCTGGTCCATATTTCTTTAAGTTCCTCACTAGCATGTCCATTTTGCTCATTTGACATCTTCCTTTGGCTGTCCTATGGCTTCCTGAAACGTAGGGTGTCCACACTATAACCTGGGATTCCTGTATCCTCATCATTGCAAGGCAGAGCTTGTGGTCTTGTAGGCAGGGATTTGATCTTTACAGTTAGATGAATTATTTCTGGTGGCTATTCTAGAAGTATTTTTTTTAAAAGAAGACCTATGGTTCTATGAAAGAAAATTCTGTGGCACCCAGAGAGCCAAAACTTATAATAGGGCTGGGTGACATTTATTGAGCACTTACTATGTCAGGCACTGTCTTGAGAGATTCCTATGCATTTTCTCATTTTATTCTCGTAACAATCATATGAAGTAGGCACCATCATCTTCATTCTGAAGATGGTGGGAATGAGGAAGAGAGTAGAGGAATTTTCCCAAGGTCACACAGCTACTAATGGTAATTCTAGAATAAGGAACCTGGGAATTTGATTCCAAGCACTATCCTCTTGGTTGATTTAGCTTAGCACTTTACATTGCTGCCTCCGGTTCATAGAACTTTGGCCAGATAATTATTCTTACAAATTATTCTTAATGAAAGTTTGGGATAGAAATGACAAAGAGAGAGAATATTTACTTTGACCAAAGGAAGCACCAGTTTGCTTTGTATGAAAGTGCATCATAGTTCAGAAAATATGTTCAATTTAGTAAGACTTTATGGAGCACCTCTTGGAGTTGTAGAGGGCAGTGCAAAGCACTCCTCTCTTCCCCTGAGGAAGAGGTTTGAAGTTTGAACCAGTTGAAAGATAGACACGAGAATCAGAAAGCTGGTGATCAGAATATTGGCTCTACTGCAGTTGGAGCCCAGTTGGAAAACATGAATTTGGTCTGCTGGGCACATGAGCTTATTTTCACACATCTGCCCTGAGCTCAGCTCACCCAGCCAGACAGTGGCAGAGCCTGGCAGCGCAGGCTGCACCCCAACCCAGCACCCCATCAGGCTATTGGAGTGACAGAAAAGGTGCATGTCTTGTGGAAAACATCTCAAAGAGGGTTGCCTGGGCTGAAATGTGCATCTTGAACTCTTTCCCCGGCTAAGTCACTCCTTTCCAAAGGAGGAGCAGATAAGGTGAGGTAAGATGTGTTTCTTCCCTACTTCTTACTTTTAAGAGAGTGGGTTAAAAACATGTTTCCCTCGGTGGAAACAGAAGTAATGAGGAGAAGGTATTCCCTCCTCAAGTAATCATAATAACCACCACCATTTGTTGAATGCTTAGTATGTGCCAGACATTGTACTTTAGATTTTACCTACGTTAAATCATTAAAAAATCGTAATGACCCTATGAGGTAGATACATTTATTCCCATTTTACAGATGGGGAAACTGAGACTCAGAGAGGTTAAATGACTTGCTTAAGGGCAAGCAACCACTAAGTAGAGATCTCAGGGTGAACTCAGTGCTATGTGAGTCCAAATTCCATATTCTTTAAGCAGCATATTTCTACTATTTGCAAGATTTGGTGCCAGCAGAGGGGAGAGAGGAATTGGAGAAATAATGAGAAAAATTGCTGTCCACAAGGAGCTGGCAAACTTTTTCTGTAAAGGGCCAGATAGTAAATATTTTAGGCTTTGTGAGCCATGATCTCTGTTGCAACTACTTACCTCTGCTGTTTTAGCACAAAAGCAGCCGCAAACAATATGGACACAAATGAGCATGGCTGTGTTCCAATAAAACTTTATTTTTGGATACTGAAATCTGAATTTTACAGAATTTTCACATGTCACAAAATATTCTTCTTTCTCCCCCCAACCATTAAAAAATGTGGAAAGCGTTCTCAGCATGTGGGCCGTACAAAAACAGACAGCCGGCCGGGTTTGGCCCATGGGCCATAGCTTGCCAACACCTGGTCTAGTCAGTGAGAGAAACCAATGAATACAAACAAGCCATCACAAAGAAGTTATAAATTCTACAAAAGGGTCCTCAGAGAGGACCAAGGTGGCAACAATTTATTTTGAAGAAGATTAGGAGAAAGGCTTGAAAGGAGCAAAGGAGGAGCTTGAGTATTCACCTGGGCTGGGTTGACTTCCCAGCTTTGTTTATTTCTCAAAGTAAGCAACAGTCTACCATTTCCCTTAAAAATGAAATATTAAATGAGAGGTAGGAAAAGAAATCAATTTAGAGCAATAACAAGAACGGCTAATGGTGGTTCGGGACTGTGTTATAGCTGCCTAATTAAGATGATTTATAACCACACAGAAAGGCTCTTTTGTTTCCCATTTATTTAATAACAGCTCACATCGGCCATTACTCCACATACAACCCATGGAAAATTACCTAATGGGTTCTGTTCAAGGAATGTCATCAAACAAGAGTGTGTCACTTTTCTGGCACCCTTGATTTTATACTGCCCAAGATACGTTCCAGGTTTGAGCTGAAGGACATTGGTTAAGTGGAGTTCTAGAGGTTTGGTCTTCTATCAGCAATTATGGGATCCCCCAAGTTTTGGTCTCTACTGAGGCAACTTCCTCCCTCAGCCTCTCCCAACCCTGGCAGAGGAGAAGGCACTCTGCCAGGTTGCAGGCTAGCATCCAGCATATCGAACTGCTCCTGCTGACTTCTGGAAGACATCCTAGTCTTGCTGCAGCAGTGGATAAAGCTGCAGTCCAGAGCAACCTGGAAGAGTTTAAAGTCAAGTGCATTAGGGGCATGAAGGCTCTTTTAGGGAAGGAGGATAATTTTTCTGCAGGGAACTAGTCTGATGACAGGGTTCAAAATCTGACTATCTCTGGAATCCTTAAAACAGGGGCAACCAGTATTTGTACTGTTTCATGGAGCCTCTAGAGGCATCTTTTTCTTTTGGCCATTGATGGTGGTAGAGGGTGGTGACTACATGCTCCCCTAACTCCTCCTGCTTGGGCCCTGGGCATTGGAGACTCCCCTTCTCCTCCATCCCTCCAGCCTGTTTATCCCACTGCAGAATTAAGAATGAAAGGGAACCTGGAGAGTCTATATACTCCTGTTGGTGGTGGTGGTGGTTGCTGTTGAGTTGATTCCAACCCATGTGAGCAGAGTAGAGCTGCTCCATAGAGTTTTCAAGGCTGTGACCTTTTGGAAGTAGAACGTCATGGCTGACTGCATGTGTGTTAGAGTGTAACTGTGCTCCATAGGGTTTTTAATGGCTGATTTTTTGGAAGTAGTTCTCGAGGCCTTTCTTCAGAGGTACCTCTGGGTAGACTTGAACCTCTAACCTTTCAGTTAGAAGCCAAGTGCATTAACTGTTTGTACCACCTAGGGACTCTTCACCTAGCTTAGAATTGGTTAAATTTCATTTAAAAGTGCTTACTTTGTGGAATATTGCCACCCCACCCCCCAAAAAAAGAAAAGTCTTAGTTATCCTTCGATAACCATTTTGTTATAAATCTGTTAGGTCAACGACATTTAAAAATGGAAACAGTCAAAGAGCTTGGCTTCTAGAATCAGACTGATTTGTGCATCCTATGGTACATTACTTTCATCTGTCTGTGTCTCAGGCTCCTGAAGCATAAAATGGGGATACACATACAAGGTCCAGGTCAATTCCCCGCAAGTCAATTTAAGCAAAATCACTTTGTAGAAAGATCAATTGGCCATTTGGTCAAAAACTGTCAAACACATGACTTAAACCAGATCTACAGTAGTCAGCATCAGCAGTTTAGCTGGCAGAGGGAGAAGCAGAGTCAAGGTTAGGGGCAGAGGCAGCGCCAGGAGAGCATGGGAACCACGTGGAAGTGTGTGGAACACTGTATGCAGCATTGCTGCACTGACTAATATCTGCCGGAATGGCTGCAGTGGAGTCAAGGAAAGTCTAAAACTTGGAAAACATTCTCAGTCATTTGTGGTGAATTTGTTATTCAACAAATTGATCATTTAGTGAATTAATCTTTGATGAATTTGCCTACTTTCAATAATCATACCTTTGTAATAGGGATGTTATACGAATTTAATGAAACGATGCAAGAAAAGCATTTAGCACACTGCTTGGCACAAAGAAAGCAGAAAAGATAATTGTCACTTTTCCCCTTTTTAGGACCTACTCACTAAATGTCTATTGAATGTCTATAAATCCTCTGTTTAAGGTTGCAATTATTATTAGGGTCTTTTTGGCTCAGTAAGTACCAGTGTTTTAATATTAGTGTATTCTTCGTATTGCAGCAAGCGAAAAAGAAAGTTGCCGTTAGTGAGATTGGTAAAAAAAAAAAATCCAAAACTTGAAAATAAGGCTGAGGGGAGGGGTGCCATGTCCTTTAAATGTTACACTGGCAAATTGTTTAACAGACCTGCCTAAGGATTATTTAGTTATCTTGGACCGAGGTCAGCAAACTTCTTCTGTGATAAGTCAGATAGTAAATACATCCAGCTTTGAAACTATTCAGATCTGCTGTTGTAGTGCGAAAGCAGCCGTAGACAGTATGTAAATGATCAGGCATGGCTGCGTTCCAATAAAACTTTATTTGCAAAAATAAATGGTGGGCCAGACTGGCCCATGGGCCATCGTTTGCTGTCCTCTGCTCCAGGAGAACATGCCTGTGCTTGACTTTGGTATTTACTAGTTGATTCAAGCCCAGGTACTGTGAAGTTGTATGTTAACTTATAGATTTTTGACTGGTACAAAAGATAACACCAAAGGTTATGGTTTTATTGCCTTGTAGAGCATAACCAGTTTTGTCTCTAGCCTAGCATTCTTATTTTAATGTATTGTTTAATGTCTATAAATACCCAGTTCTTTAAATGTTCATGAGACCAGCCTTACTATCTCACTGGTTCCCTCATAAGTGAGTTACATTTTTGACACATGTTCATTCTAAATTTGTATGAGACTCGTATTTTTTTAATATTTTGAAAAATTACAGTTAAGGTTGATGGGAAAATTTGGGTAGTGGTGATGGTTGCACAACTTGATAAATGTAATTAATGTCACTGAATTGTACATGTAAAAAATGTTGAAATGATAAATGTTTTGTTATGTATATTTTTACCACAATTTAAAAAAATAACTAAGAGAAAATATTTGATTGAAAAATAACGGTTAAAAATCAAACTGGTGTGTGTGTGTGTGTAGATAAAATGTAAAAAGTTATGCTTTGTGTTTGTTATACCCTTTCAAATATGTTTTCTCAATATTATGAGGCATTTACTTCAAACTGTGGCCATAATTCAATAGCGTACACATTGAATTATACAGAAACTGAGCATATCAGCAGAGATAGTATAGTCATTTCAGGATAGTCGTCTGGTGACTTCCTCAGAATTTGCTTTCCAAGAATAATGATTTGAGCCAGGTTTCTGCTATTGACTAAATTGGACACAAAGAAAAATAATAACTCTCTGAAAAGTATCACAAGCTGTCATACACCATTACAGTTCTATTACGTCTGAGCAGGGGGGTGAATAAAAACATTTATTTTGAAAACAACGACAACAAAATTATAATTTGATGAGCTCATTAATTAGGATACCATTTATGGCTGTTTTAGAACAATAAGTGTCATTGAGTGATATGCCAGATACCACATTCAATACTTTACATACTATACATTTATTTTTTCCTCATAATATGCTTATGAGGAAGATATTATGCCCACTTTGCAGATATGAACACTTACATGCAGGAAAGTGAAATAGCTATTAATTGATAAGAGTTTACACTGAACCCAAGTTTTTCCTTACTCCACAGCCTGACAATAAAGCTGAATTCCCTTTCTTGAAAGATAAACACCACTGACTGAAGTACAGTCCTGTTTGGTAGGAACTTTCAATCTTAACTTTGGGATCATAATCTAAATTCCAGGACCTAACATGTGGTTACAGAAAATATTTACACTCAGACATGTATCCCTAATGACTATAGAATTATGCTGCATTTCTATGTATGTTCTTTACCTTGACAGGCTTAAAGATATAACTTCTTCCTCAGCTGTGTACATACACTGTTTGTCATGTTTATTACTTTCAGGTGACTTGAAAGATGGTAAAAATAAGTCAGACAAGAAGGATCAATCCAATGTCGGAAAGGATTCAAAGAAAACAGATGGTAAGAGTATAATTCCCATTACATTTTTCCATAAAATGTGCAATATAATGCAGGCTTGTTAGAATTCCACCTAAAATTGAAGTCATGGTTGTTAATATATCCTTAGGTTATATCTTGAAAAAACACTCTACTACATTTTGAAGGTACTACTTATCATCCTTTTTTTCAATAATTTGTGAATTACTGTTGTGTCTTTTCCCCTCTCTACCATGCTTTCTCCATCACAAATGCTTTCTATACTCTTTCTTTTCCCACTTATACTTTTCATTTTAGCCTTTATAAAAGGTTGATTCTGGACTAGCTGATTGTAGTAAAATAGAATAACACATACTGCTAAAATGTTTACAAGTCTCTGACCATGAATTTTGCAGTGTAAGTAGGAAATATTTTATGTTTTTGGCTTTAACTTTTTTTACTTTGAATGAGTTATTGATTTAGGTCAGAAGGAAAAAAAAAAATCAGGAATCTGTTTAGTATTCTCATGATGTTGGGAGGCCCAAATATTGGAGAACATACATAGTTATAGAATACAGTTTGGCCAGGAAGAGCAAGTCTTAAAGCCAACGCTTTATATGATTCTCCCAAACCAAAGTTAGAGTGAACCTACATTGTAAAGTACTTCCTGAGCACTGATTTTACTTTTCATAAGCAGCATTTCATACTTTCTAAAACCTGGAAGTTCAAATTATATTACCTCCAAACTTTGAACTATTAGATTGAGAAACCTGTCCTCACCTTTTATATAAATCTCATTGTTTCCGTTGCAACGTGGGCCTGGTTATTTCTAGTTATTTACTCAGATATTCCTAGTGAGTTATTCATTGGTACATGTACCTGATGTTAAACTAAAAACAAACTTTTTCAAGGAGTAGGTTTTGTTAGAGTCCCAGACTCTTTTTGAATCATACCTCCCTGGAGACATCATATTTTATGCTAAGCTATTCTTTGAATAGTTTGGTTATAACAAATGCTGGGTAATCAGGTTGAGGAATAAGAAGAAATCTGAACACAACTCCTCGCCAGGTTTTTATAGAAGAAGTGGCCTCTATAGCTTTAATCCCTGAGCCATTGCAATATGCTCTCTTTACTTGTATGTATGATATCAGTTCTCAAACTTTTCCTTTTAAGACCATTGAGATAATTTACTCCAGATGTCTTATCACATAATATCTGGGGAACATACACCTGCAATTTTTCACCAACTTGTTTATGCAAATAGAAGCACTTACCTAGTGATATATCCTCCTTTAATAATTGTGACTAAGAAGTGAGTTACACAAGGACTAAACAAAATTCAATATGGCAGTCTCTCAGCCTCACTCCAGTATGGGTAAGGTTTGTTCAAATACTGGAGGCTTCTTGCCATACATCGTTAGACCCAAGTCAATGCAAGACGAGCCAGAAAATGAATAGTAGAGGAGAATAGTGTCTGGTATAATAAGCCCACCACCTGAACACCTAGCCCATCCTGAATCTAGCAACTGACCCATCACTCCCTGATTTGAGTCCCTATAGCATAAAAGGCTGTAGGGATAAACCAAATCTCAAATCTTTAACATGGGACATTGAATCTTGTTGTGTTTTGTAGCAGATATTGTGCAGCAAATATCTGCTATAATTTTGTCTTGTGGATACTGTGGCTTAAATTTTATTACCTTCATAAAGCCCTTTTATATTACCTTTACCCTTTTAACTGTATTATTCTCAAATATTTAAGATAGTTTTTTGGGGGCAGGGCAGAGTGTGACAATGAATTAGATATTATATCCTATTGAACAAATAAGTAGAATGTTTAGTTTATAAACATTTTTAATGTTTGATGACCAGGATTCTTGACTTCAGGCTGCAGTAAGATAAGAGCAGACATTCTCTGACATCTATCCATTTTCCCCTCCATAACCCAACCTTTCACTGCCGTAAGTGGGGCATGATGTGTCCATATATTTGCAAGTTTGTGCAAAAACATGAGTATGAGCAACTTTGTATTTTAACTTGATTGATTAACTCACATGGCATCAGTCATCATCACTGCTTTGGTATCATCAGGACTTATAGGGTTTCAGTAACTTGTACTATCTTTGACTAAAACCTTTACCAGAACTAAAGTTAATTCTTGGTGGCATGTAGTGCAGAAGAATTTAATCATTCTCACCTACCCCTTCCCCCTTGGCTATTAAAGCCCTCTACTTTAGAAAATGAAATCTGTCGATCAGTAGATACATTGATTTTTTTAAACTATGTAAAAATAATCAGATACATTTTGAACATTTATTTTTAATGGATCTTATTACATCTGATGACCAGAGGGAGTCAATGTAACTATTTTTAATGCCTTACATCTGATGTGACTCCTGGAAACCATCAGTAACCAGCACTCTCTACCCATTGGAAAGGAGTATCCAGGTACAATTCAATGCCCAAAGTGATCAAACTCACTGTGGTTTAAAGTTGCAGCATTGTGCGCATTCAGAGAGTAACCAGTGGAAACTGGTCTGCAGTTGGTTATTCCCAAACTCCCATGAGCTGGGTCACACACAAAGGGAAGCAGTATGTGCAAAAAGGGTAAATTACATCCTGGCAAAATGAATACATTTGCAGTTGGACATTATCTCTGTCAGGCCACTGAGGTGCTATTTAGTGCCCTACAGCACTAATTCTCTGACTTCAAAGAATGAATGTCCTCTGAAAGTACCTTGCTTACCCCTAGGGAGAAATGTACTAACATAAAGAGGTCTGGGTCTCTGAGCCAAGATTCTCACAGTGCCAAAACTTTTCCGCTGTCATTGGGAGATGTGGTGTACCACACAAATGAATTCTTTTGACTGTGTTTCTAGCCTTGTTTGTAGCAAAACAACTTCGTGGACCTGCTATAATTTATTATAAAACCTAGGAAAACCAAACTTGTTGCTGTCGAGTTGATTCCAGCTCATATAGTTGCCCAGAAATAGAAACTTTCCTTAACATCATTTGGCCACATTAACAGAGATACAGGAGATATTCACCTTTTGTGTTTCTCAAAAGGCTGATTGTAATTAGGCCTGCAGTGTTATTAGCCAAGCCCTAGGAAGTGAGTTCAGCAGGGGTTTCTCTTTCATTGAGTGTTCTGGGAATTGTAATGTTATGGATGTTCATGCATGGAATTTAAAAGTCAGTTGTGAAGAGTGGAAAAGGTGACAAAAGACAATCTATGGATATGTACTTCTGCCAAAGATGAAGCAACAAGAACCGGATTTACTCTCCCACCTGAAACAACCATAAGAGCAACAGAGACACTGGACACCAGACATCAGGCAATGATGTATAGTGATCTTTGAGAGATAGGAAGTGCGTAAAGTGGCTCTACAATTGTCCCAGTTTTCTACCTTGAGAAGGTTACCAGGTGTCAGAGGGGCTGGGGGATTCAGGAGGACTTGGTAGATACCCTGAGTTAAGAAATTGTATAAGAAAGAGTCCAGGAAGACCAAGATGGCTAGAATTCACCAGAGAGGAGAGCACTCCAGAGAGATAGTTTCAAAGATCTGAAGAGGGTCCCTCTTGAATGTTCAGCAGAGACAAGAAAAGAACCATCTGAGAAGATTAAACAGTCTCCATGCTCACACAGGGAGGGCAAAAGTTCCTGTTTCCACCAATCAAACTTAAATACCTCATAATCGATGGGACACCAGGTAGAATATTTATAGTTGTCTTGCCTTAATAGTGGGGAATAATTAGCTATAGGCTAAATGCTGCTCTGGTTCCATCTAAACCAAACCCATTGCCATTGAGTTGATGCTGACTCATAGCGACCCTATAGGACAGAGTAGAACTGCCCCATAGAGTTTCAAAGGAGCAGCTGATGGATTTGAACTGCCAGCCTTTTGGTTTGCAGCTGTAGCTCTTAACCACTGCACCACCAGAGCTCCTGGTTCCACCTAGCAAATATTAAGAACAAGACCTAAAAGGATCAAGATGTTTCCAAGTAACTTAGTTGCATTCAAATAAATAACTTAATTGAATAAAGCTCATCCTAGATTAAAGCACAAGTTCCAAATACAAAAATATTCAACACCTAACAAGGTAAAATTCACGATGTCTGTAATCTAGTCAAAGATTACTTGACATGCAAAGAAGCAAGATAGCACTGCCTATAAGGAGGAAGAAAGTCAATCAATTAAAACCAGTCCAGAGCTGGAATAGATGTTAAAATTAGCAGAAAAGGGCATTGAAACAGTTATTATAACTGCAACCGTATGTTCAAAAAGTTAAGGAGGGAGATGGAAGATATAAAAAAAAAAATACCCAAACTGAACTTCTAGAAATGAAAACTACGATGTCTGAAATGAAAAATACAGTGGATATTATTAATGGCATAGCATGTGGTAGGATTGATGGTAAATACACAGAATGGAATTAGATATTGCAGAAGAAAAGTAGTGAAAATATTAGCAACAGAAATTATCCAAAATGAAATACACAAAGAAAAAAGAATAAAAATTACTGTAAAGAGCATCAGTAAATTGTAGGATACTTTCAAGCAGCCTAATACACGTATAATTGGAGTCCCCAAAGTAGAGGAGAGAGAAGGCAAGGAAGAAGAAAATATTTGAAGAAATAATGGCTAAAATTTTGCCAAATGATGAAAAGTATAAGCTATAGGTCCAAGAAGTGTAACAAAGCCCAAGCACAAGAAACATGAAACTAAGCCAAGGCATACTGTAATCAAATAACTCAAAACACTCATGAAGAGAAAATTTAAAAAGCAGCCAGAAGGAAAACACACTATGTACAGACAAACAAAGATAAGGATAACAGTAGATTTCTTATTAGAAACAATGCAAACAAGAAGATAGTGGAGCAACATCTTTAGAGAACTGAAAGAAAAAAGAAAATTAAACAAGAATTCTATATCCAACAAAAATATCTTTCAGATGAAATAAAAATGTTTTCAGACATACAAAAGCTGAAAGAATTCATCACCAGTAGACTTACACTCCAAGAAATGTCAAAGAAAATCAGAAAGG